TCATTCCCTCCCTCCGTCCCTCATTCCCTCCCTCATTCCCTCCCTCCGTCCCTCATTCCCTCCCTCATTCCCTCCCTCCGTCCCTCATTCCCTCCCTCATTCCCTCCCTCCGTCCCTCATTCCCTTCCTCATTCCCTCCCTCCCTCTCTCATTCACTCCCTCCCTCCTTCCGTCCCTCATTCCCTCCCTCTCCTCTCGATACCTCTCAACCACCCTCCTCCTCCCGTCCCCCCGTCTCTCCATCCCTCTGCTTCCTCTCTTTTTTATTATTATTTTTTACCATCAGAGCAAACAAGAAGATGTTCGGTGTAGTCGGCACTTTGCTTCGTTCATCATTTAGTTCTTTTTTTTTCAATGCTTTGTTTTATGTGCCCCCCCCCCTTTTTAAATGAAAGATTTCACAAAATATTTCACGCTCTGCTCCCCTCCTTCTTACCCCCTCCCCCCTCTCTCTCCCCCCCTCTCTCTCTACCCCCCCCCTCTCTCTCCCCGCCCCCCCATCTCTCTCCCCCCCCCACTCTCTCTCTCTACCCCCCTCTCTCCCCCCCCCTCTCTCTCCCCGCCCCCCCTCTCTCCCCCCCATCTCTCTCTACCCCCCCCCCACCACCACCACCAGCCTCGTGCGGGAGTGCCAACGCATCCAGAGGGTGGTAAAGGAAAGGTGAGTTAGGGCTTCCGCGGATGTTTATTTTCCTGTTGCTGCCGCATTTCTTTTTTTCACGGGATGCCTCGACCTTTAACAAGGTAGACTGTGTGGGGGGAGGGCGAGCTGGGACGGTTTAGGGCATTCACTGATTTCTTATCGGTGCTTGTTCCTACTTACACAAATTGGAGCTAAGTAGGTGGAGGGAGGGAGCGAGAGAGGTGGTCAAAGTAAGGGCATCTACAGATTCCTTTCGCGCAGTTCACTCTTGTGTGAAACAGTGCCGAGGGAGAGTCGCGGATGCCTGGTCCCTCCGCAGGGAGGGTTGGAGCTTCCACGGATTTTTTCAGGTAAAGAGAGGGGGGGGTGGTTAGGGCTTCCACGGATTTTTTTCTTCCCGTAAAGAGAGGGGGGTGGTTAGGGCTTCCACTGATTTTTTTTCCCCCGTAAAGAGAGGAGGTTGTTAGGGCTTTCACGGATTTCTTTTCGTGGTTGTTCTTCTGTAAGTAGGGGGTGGTTAAGGTTTCCACGGATTTCTTTTCGTGGTTGTTCTTCTGTAAGTAGGGGGTGGTTAGGGCTTCCACGGATTTATTTTCGTGGTTGTTCTTCTGTCAGTAGGGGGTGGTTAGGGCTTCCACGGATTTATTTTCGTGGTTGTTCTTCTGAAAGTAGGGGGTGGTTAGGGCTTCCACGGGTTTCTTTTCGTGGTTGTTCTTCTGTAAGTATGGGGTGGTTAGGGCTTCCACGGATTTCTTTTCGTGGTTGTTCTTCTGTAAGTATGGGGTGGTTAGGGCTTCCACGGATTTTTTCCGTGGTTGTCCTTCTTGGAGGGTGGTTATGGCTTCCACTGATTTCAATTCGTGGGGGTTTTTTTCCTTAAGGTGAGAGTTCTCGGGGGGAGGGGGCAGTGCGTTGTCGGATTCTGGATCGCCTTTAAAAGAAGAAAGGGAACACTTCTCCGCCCACAATCTCCGCTGTTGTCGCTTCAACTCGGCCTGGTTTGCGTTCGGGTGCTTCCGCGGATTTTTTTTTATTTGATCCTCGTGAAGAAGGGATGGGTCTGGTTAAGGGCTTCCGGCGATGCATTCTTTGATGATGTGCGCCCATATGACGGTTAGATCTATGCCTTCCGCGGATTTCTTCTTCGTGGATATACTTCGACAAGAGAGTTTCCTGTTATTCCTATGAAACTAAACTAATATTTGTATTCTATTTTACCAGGCAAGGCCCACTGACTGAGCAATATATAACTTGCCTTTTACAGAAGGTAGCCTGGCCACAAACGATTGCTCAACGAAGTGGGGAGAGAAAGAGAGACACACACAAACACTCCGATGGAGTTAACATCTCATAGCCACCGTGATGATGAGAGAGAGACAGGCAAACTTCCAATATACAGCAGCTGGCGTCAGGGTCGATATCGAACCCACGACCTCCTGCATGCCAGGCGACATATTAAATAATCTCGCCACAGTGGCGTCCAAGTTAGGTCTAGGGCTTCCACGGATGTCTTGTAACGTTAATGTACCTCGATAACAGAGTGAGAGTTAGGTACAGGGGCTTCCACGGATGTCTCACCCGTGGATCCACGTCCCAAAGCAAAGCGAGGGAGGGGTCATCGGGGACCTTCCACGGATATCCCTCCACCCCCCGTGGCTTTTCTTCCTTGAGAAGGGAGCGGTGGCGTCGGGAAGAGGGGGCGGAGGTGGTGGGTGGGGTGGGTGGTGGGTGGGTGGGGTGGTGGGTGGGTGGGGTGGTGGGTGGGGAGGTGGGTGGGTGGGGTGGTGGTGGGTGGGGTGGGTGGTGGGTGGGTGGGGTGGTGGTGGGTGGGGTGGTGGTGGGTGGGGTAGTGGGTGGGGTAGTGGGTGGGGTGGTGGTGGTGGGAGGGGTGGTGGGTGGGGTGGGGTGTTGGGGTAGTGGGTGGGGTGGTGGTGGTGGGAGGGGTGGTGGGTGGGGTGGGGTGTTGGGGTAGGGGGTGTTGGAGGAGGAGGACGAGAAGGGAGGGAGGGTCGCGAAGCACACGGGGTCCCTTTAAATTAGAAGGCAAACTTCACCGCCCCCCTCCACCCCCTGTCCTCAGCTATCCGCCGCTGCTGCTGCGTCTTTGCTTCATTCAGCACTCGACACGCGGACAGCAGCAGCAGCAGTCGCAGCATCAGCAGCAGTCGCAGCAGCAGCAGCAGTCGCAGAAGCAGCAGCAGTCGCAGCAGCAACAGTCGCATCAGCAACAGTCGCAGCAGCAACAGTCGCATCAGCAACAGTCGCATCAGCAACAGTCGCATCAGCAGCAGTCGCATCAGCAGCAGTCGCAGCAGCAGCAGCAGCAGTCGCGAGTCGCTGCGTCTTCACGCGCCGCGTTCGTTCGTCCAGCGGCGATGACTCCACGTGCGCGCGACCGTGCGCGTGCGTGTCTCCTACAGGTGTAGCGGGGGGCTGCTGCTGTGCACGCGCGCGTGTGTGTGCGATCCTACTTCGACGATCGCTTCAGCTGCACGTGATGTCCATCGTCGTCCTCGAGCGCCTGGAAATGAGTTCGTTGAAGGCGCGTGAACGCTGCTAGAGATTTATTTTTTTTCACATTTTTATTCGATCATTTTATTTTTTGCGGTCGTGATATCCGCCAAGGAAGAAGAAGGAAGGAGCGATCGATCGGTGTGGATTAGAAATTCTCTCGTTTCGTTCGAGCGTCAATCAGTCGGACGAACGGCGCTCGATTCGTTTCGAGCGCTGAAGCCGATACCCCCCAAAAAAATCAAGGTCGCCCTGCAACGCAGAATGTGTCCATCGTGAGAGATATTCCGTGCAACAACAGCGCCACATTCGATTTATGAAGTTAGTTTACGCGAACAATCCACACGTGCACTGCGCAGATATTCATTCGATTTATCACACACATATATCACGCACACACACGCATCTATCACGCACACACACACGCATCTATCACGCACAGACACACATATATAACACACACACACGCAACAGACACACACACATGCATCACACATCCTCTATCTGAACATATGCACGTGCGTCTACATACGTGCACACGCAACACACGCGAAGAGTAGTTGTTCATATATATATACAATTACACGTGTGCATATCGTGCACTATTACAAGCATGTACACACGCACAGCGCACGCGTCGATTGCTACATAGGAGGGCGCATTCCGCTTTGTACGTGCACAGGGTACACGGTTCCAGAGTGCCTACACACACGTAGAGACACACTCACTCACACGTAGAGACACACTCACACACACGTAGAGACACACTCACGCACACGTAGAGACACACTCACACACACGTAGAGACACACTCACGCACACGTAGAGACACGCATTCACACACGTAGAGACACTCAATTCACACACTCACGCACACGTAGAGACACAATTCACACACGTAGAGACACGCATTCACACACTCACACACACGTAGAGACACGCAACTCACACACGTAGAGACACACATTCACACACTCACACACACGTAGAGACACGCCTTCACACACACGTAGAGACGCGCATTCACACACTCACGCACACGCAGAGACACGCAATTCACACACGTAGAGACACGCATTCACACACTCACACACACGTAGAGACACGCATTCACACACTCACACACACGTAGAGACACGCAATTCACACACGTAGAGACACGTAGAGACACGCATTCACTCACGCGCAGACGTTGTGTACTGCGGTAATAGTAACGCACGCACGATCTGTACATATATCTATCACAGTGCGCGGGTTCCACGTGTGTGTGTGTGAAGTGTGCATTACACACGTACACGCCACGTGTGTGTGAAGTGTACATTATACACACACACACGCGCGCAGCATAGGTGTAGAATATACTATAGCTTACACACATTGCACGGATATACACACACACATACTAGCACACACACTTCACAGCTACACAGGTACACGCTGCACACACACACACGCTACACAGTTACACACAGCACACACACACACGACACAGCCACACACACACACACGCTACACACACACTACACAGGTACACACACACACTACACAGCTACACAGGTAGACGCTGCACACACACACACGCTACACACACACACACTACACAGGTAGACGCTGCACACACACACACACTACACAGTTACACACACACACGCGTTACACACACACACTACACAGTTACACACACACACTACACACACACACTACACAGGTAGACGCTGCACCTACACGACACAGCTACACACTGCACACAGGCGCAGCCTAACACACCGACCAAGGTGATCTCAAATCGTTGCCAAATCAACAACAACATCATCATCATCATCGTCGTCGTCAGCGGCGGCCAGCGATGGCGTTCCCGCAGCTGGGCTTCCAGTATCTCGCGAGCTCCCCGCCCCCGATGAGCGGAGCCGACTCGACAGGAGGTCTTCTCCAGCCTCGCCTCGCCACGCACGCGTCCCCAGCTGCTGCTGCTGCAGCTGCTGCTGCTTGTGCTGCTGGTGGTGGTGCTGGTGCTGGTGGCGGTGCTTCCAGTGGTGGCTCCAGCAGCCACGTGGCCGCTGCCGCCGCAGCAGCTTCCCTCCTGGGTCTCTACTCATCCTCCTCGTACGGCGGCCTCGGCTACGCGGCCGCGTTCCTCCCCTACCCGGCAGCCGACATCGCCGCGGTCTACGCGCAGCTGGTGAGTGGCGACCTCGGGGAGAGCCTCGGTGGTAGGGCCGGGAGCGGGCGGAGTGTCCCGTGCCAAGCTCCCCCCCCCCTAACCGCTCCTCTGCCCCCCTCGCTATCATCACGTTTGTTCACGGCCGATCTGGATGTTGGTGAGCGCTCGGCCGTGGGATCCGCGGTGGATAGGAGATGTTGGCGACCTCGCCTGGTGTGCAGGAGGTCGTGGGTTCGATGCCGACCCTGACGATGCCTACTGCTGTATATTTAGAGTTTGCGTGTCTCTCTCATCATCATTATCATCATCAGGGTGGCGAGAAGATGTTAACTACCTCGCCTGGTGTACAGGAGGTCGTGGGTTCGATCCGGACCCTACGCTTGCTGCTGTATATTTGGAGTTTGCGTGTCTCTCTCTCATAATCATCATCACGGTGGCTAGGAGATGTTAACTACCTCGCCTGGTATACAGGAGGTCGTGGGTTCGATCCGGACCCTGACACCTGCTGCTGTATATTTGGAGTTTGAGTGTCTCTCTCTCTCATCATCATCACGGTGGCTAGGAGATGTTAACTACCTCGCCTGGTGTACAGAAGGTCGTGGGTTCGATGCCGACCCTGACGATGCCTGCTGCTGTATATTTGGAGTTGGCGTGTCTCTCATCATCATCAGGGTGGCTAGGAGATGTTAACTACCTCGCCTGGTGTACAGGAGGTTGTGGGTTCGAATCGGACCCTGACGCTTGCTGCTGTATATTTGGAGTTTGCGTGTCTCTCATCATCATCACGGTGGCTAGGAGATGTTAACTACCTCGCCTGGTATACAGGAGGTCGTGGGTTCGATGCCGACCCTGACGCTTGCTGCTGTATATTTGGAGTTTGCGTGTATCTCTCTCTCATAATCATCATCACGGTGGCTAGGAGATGTTCACTACCTCGCCTGGTATACAGGAGGTCGTGGGTTTGATGCCGACCCTGACGCCTGCTGCTGTATATTTGGAGTTTGCGTGTCTTTCTCTCTCATAATCATCATCACGGTGGCTAGAAGATGTTCACTACCTCGCCTGGTATACAGGAGGTCGTGGGTTCGATGCCGACCCTGACGCCTGCTGCTGTATATTTGGAGTTTTCGTGTCTCTCTCTCTCATAATCATCATCACGGTGGCTAGGAGATGTTAACTACCTCGCCTGGTATACAGGAGGTCGTGGGTTCGATGCCGACCCTGACGCCTGCTGCTGTATATTTGGAGTTTGCGTGTCTCTCTCTCTCATCATCATTGCGGTGGCTAGATGTTAACTACCTCGCCTGGTGTACAGGAGGTCGTGGGTTCGATCCGGACCCTGACGCTTGCTGCTGTATATTTGGAGTTTGCGTGTCTCTCTCTCTCTCCGTGGTCGCGTGGGATTGTTCTCCGGGTCCCTCCGGGTTTTTCTCTTCCACATGTAGCATCAACATCGCTAAAGTTTCGAGTGCTTGGCTGCTGCTAGGAATGTCCCCACTTCGATGCGCTCTCGTCTGTGGCCAGATCGTCTCTAAATAACAGCTACACACATATATATACATATACAACTTCAGTGGGGCTTGCCTGGTAACATTAATTTAACAAAAAACACATTCATATTGATTTCGGTAAAGTCACGTAGGTAAAGAAAACAACTCAATTAAATCACGACGTTTCGGGCGCAACACAACGTAGCGAAAGAGTTTGTGCTTTTAATCCTTGCGGTCACGAAAACTTCAAATCTAGAACATTTCTAGTTATGTGGTTTATAGAGTTTTTTTGTAAATACGCGGTGGCTGAGCGCATGACCAAAGGATCAAACAAAAACGTCAGGCGGCCAGCAACGGGCAGCACGATAAGAGCGTGTAATAGACACGAGTGTGTAGTAGATACGAGTGTGTAGTAGATACGAGTGTGTAGTAGATACGAGTGTGTAGTAGATACGAGTGTGTAGTAGATACGAGTGTGTAGTAGACACGAGTGTGTAGTAGATACGAGTGTGTAGTAGATACGAGTGTGTAGTAGATACGAGTGTGTAGTAGATACGAGTGTGTAGTAGACACGAGTGTGTAGTAGATACGAGTGTGTAGTAGATACGCGTAATGGACACGAGTGCGTTAAGAACTGTTTGTTGAATGAATGAGCGAGGCTGTTTGTGATAAGAGCTCGAGGGGGGGAGGGGGGAGGGGGAGGGGGGAGGGGGGAGGAGGGAATTCCAAAGTTGAGCAGCGCTGCGAGGGGAAGAAGTGGAAAGAGAAGTGAGGTGAGCTGCAGCGTGGTGGGTGAGTGTGTGGGTGAGTGAGTGGGTGAGTGTGTGGGTGTGTGAGTGTGTGGGTGAGTGTGTGGGTGAGTGAGTGGGTGAGTGTGTGGGTGTGTGAGTGTGTGGGTGAGTGTGTGGGTGAGTGAGTGGGTGAGTGTGTGTGTGGGTGAGTGTGTGGGTGTGTGAGTGTGTGGGTGAGTGTGTGGTGTGTGTGTGGGTGAGTGTGTGGGTGAGTGTGTGGGTGAGTGTGTGGGTGAGTGTGTGGGTGAGTGTGTGGGTGAGTGTGTGGGTGAGTGTGTGGGCGAGTGTGTGGGTGAGTGTGTGTGGGTGAGTGTGTGGGTGAGTGTGTGTGTGGGTGTGTGGGTGTGTGTGTGGGTGAGTGTGTGGGTGAGTGGGTGTGTGTGTGGGCGAGTGTGTGGGTGAGTGTGTGTGGGTGAGTGTGTGGGTGAGTGTGTGTGTGGGTGTGTGGGTGTGTGTGTGGGTGAGTGTGTGGGTGAGTGGGTGTGTGTGTGGGTGAGTGTGTGTGTGGGTGTGTGAGTGTGTGGGTGAGTGTGTGGGTGAGTGTGGGGTGTGTGGGTGTGTGGGTGAGTGTGTGGGTGGGTGAGTGGGTGGGTGAGTGTGTGGGTGAGTGTGTGGGTGTGTGTGTGGGTGAGTGTGTGGGTGAGTGTGTGGGTGAGTGTGTGGGTGAGTGTGTGGGTGAGTGTGTGGGTGAGTGTGTGGGTGAGTGTGTGTGTGGGTGAGTGTGGGGTGTGTGAGTGTGTGGGTGAGTGTGTGGGTGTGTGAGTGGGTGGGTGAGTGTGTGGGTGAGTGTGTGGGTGTGTGTGTGGGTGGGTGAGTGTGTGGGTGAGTGTGTGGGTGGGTGAGTGGGTGGGTGAGTGTGTGGGTGAGTGTGTGGGTGTGTGAGTGTGTGGGTGTGTGAGTGTGTGGGTGTGTGAGTGTGTGGGTGAGTGTGTGGGTGAGTGTGTGTGGGTGAGTGTGTGAGGTGTGGGGTGAGTGTGTGGGCGAGTGGGTGAGTGGGTGGTGAGTGTGTGGGTGAGTGTGTGGGCGAGTGTGTGTGTGGGTGGGTGAGTGGGCGAGTGTGTGGGTGAGTGAGTGGGCGAGTGTGTGGGTGAGTGTGTGGGTGAGTGTGTGGGTGAGTGTGTGGGTGAGTGTGTGGGTGAGTGTGTGGGTGAGTGTGTGTGGGTGAGTGTGTGAGTGTGTGGGTGAGTGTGTGGGCGAGTGGGTGAGTGGGTGGGTGAGTGTGTGGGTGAGTGTGTGGGCGAGTGTGTGTGTGGGTGGGTGAGTGGGCGAGTGTGTGGGTGAGTGAGTGGGCGAGTGTGTGGGTGAGTGTGTGGGTGAGTGTGTGGGTGAGTGTGTGGGTGAGTGTGTGGGTGAGTGTGTGGGTGAGTGTGTGTGTGGGTGAGTGTGTGGGTGAGTGTGTGGGTGAGTGGGTGAGTGAGTGGGTGAGTGAGTGGGTGAATGTGTGGGTGAGTGTGTGGGTGAGTGTGTGGGTGTGTGAGTGTGTGGGTGTGTGAGTGTGTGGGTGTGTGAGTGTGTGGGTGAGTGTGTGGGTGAGTGTGTGTGGGTGAGTGTGTGAGTGTGGTGGGGGTGTGTGGGTGAGTGTGTGGGTGAGTGTGTGGGGTGAGTGTGTGGGTGAGTGTGTGGTGAGTGTGTGTGTGGGTGAGTGTGTGGGTGTGTGAGTGGGTGGGTGAGTGTGTGGGTGAGTGTGTGGGTGTGTGTGTGTGTGGGTGAGTGTGTGGGTGAGTGTGTGGGTGGGGTGAGTGGGTGGGTGAGTGTGTGGGTGAGTGTGTGGGTGTGTGAGTGTGTGGGTGTGTGAGTGTGTGGGTGTGTGAGTGTGTGGGTGAGTGTGTGGGTGAGTGTGTGTGGGTGAGTGTGTGAGTGTGTGGGTGAGTGTGTGGGCGAGTGGGTGAGTGGGTGGGTGAGTGTGTGGGTGAGTGTGTGGGCGAGTGTGTGTGTGGGTGGGTGAGTGGGCGAGTGTGTGGGTGAGTGAGTGGGCGAGTGTGTGGGTGAGTGTGTGGGTGAGTGTGTGGGTGAGTGTGTGGGTGAGTGTGTGGGTGAGTGTGTGTGTGGGTGAGTGTGTGGGTGAGTGTGTGGGTGAGTGGGTGAGTGAGTGGGTGAGTGAGTGGGTGAGTGTGTGGGTGAGTGTGTGGGTGAGTGTGTGGGTGGTGTGAGTGTGTGGGTGTGTGAGTGTGTGGGTGTGTGAGTGTGTGGGTGAGTGTGTGGGTGAGTGTGTGTGGGTGAGTGTGTGAGTGTGTGGGTGTGTGGGTGAGTGTGTGGGTGGGTGAGTGTGTGGGTGAGTGGGTGGGTGTGTGGGTGAGTGGGTGAGTGTGTGGGTGAGTGTGTGGGTGAGTGTGTGGGTGAGTGTGTGTGGGTGAGTGTGTGAGTGTGTGGGTGAGTGTGTGGGCGAGTGGGTGAGTGGGTGGGTGAGTGTGTGGGTGAGTGTGTGGGCGAGTGTGTGTGTGGGTGGGTGAGTGGGCGAGTGTGTGGGTGAGTGAGTGGGTGAGTGTGTGGGTGAGTGTGTGGGTGAGTGTGTGGGTGAGTGTGTGGGTGAGTGTGTGGGTGAGTGTGTGGGTGAGTGTGTGTGGGTGAGTGTGTGGGTGTGTGAGTGTGTGGGTGAGTGTGTGGGTGTGTGAGTGGGTGGGTGAGTGTGTGGGTGAGTGTGTGGGTGTGTGTGTGAGTGGGTGAGTGTGTGGGTGAGTGTGTGGGTGGGTGAGTGGGTGGGTGAGTGTGTGGGTGAGTGTGTGGGTGTGTGAGTGTG